CAGGAAGCTGAACTGCTGCACCTCCAGGCGAGCTGCAGAGCTGGTTTACCCAACGGTGATGGCCCCAGCCCTCAACAGCGTGGCGGTGCCCAGCTTTCACTGCTGTACGCCATGTTTTCCACTGTGTTCCCGAGTATGGTGACGAGGACCTGGAGAGAAAACATCACATGTTAGCTGTGATCCTTCTGAGCAGGAAAGCACAACCTGAATTCTGGCCTCCTGAACGCAGAAGGAGCTCAGCTGGAGTTTCAGGTGCTTTCAAGGACTGCTTGCGCTCAGTTGCTCTGGCTCATCTTGGGTATTTCCAGAAGATACTCCAGAAGCAATTTTCTGGTAGGTCTGGATTTCACCCTAGATTTTTGCAGGACAAATGATCTAAGGAACTGTATGGTGCAAAAAGTAAATGCCAAAAAAACAGGAACAATAACTACCACTACAAGTACCTAACTGATGGGGAAAATGACGATACACATGTTCTCAATATGTAAAATACAATTTATTGTATTTAGGCCATTCATAAGTCTCAACACAATGCAGTATGTTTGAAACAAACATCTTACCAATAAATACTGTCTAAACATTAATATTAGTCTTCTGATCAAATGTGTACAGTGTATTGACTCCGTATTGCACAGCGAGCTCTGTATGACGTTTCCCTAGTGCATTCACTTTGTTCAAGGGACAGTTTGCCACGAATACTGCAAAGCATCAGAGCTGACATTTCCAAGTGAAAACAGCTGAACTGTTTCATCAGGGACTGAAGGCTGACGCAGATGTCCGTGTCCTAGGCTAACTGGTTATGGATTCATGCAACCTGATGCTTTCATGAATGAGGAGACTTTGTTTCTAATACAATTTTTAGGTGATTGTAAAAAAAAAATCCCACTTTCAAATAGAATGAGGATATTATCATCAGACTTAGGTGAACAGCCAACTCCAGTGATCAGTAAGCTTGTGATCAAGCTTGTTTCCTCCTGTTCCAATCCAAATACAAATCATATCTTTGATCTCTTCAGAGATGTATCTCGCCACTTGCATTTCAAAAGCCAGACGGTGCAAGCCCCCAGCGCCACTCCAGCACTTTGCTCCCTGCGTGCCTCTGCTCAGATTAGACTCGGGGCCCATCAGTGTGAGCAGGGGTCGCACGCTCCAGTCTCAACAGTTTTCAATGCAGGCATAATTTCCCAGTAGTTCTATAATTAACTGTATCTCAGCTTTATCTGGTTAACTCTTAATTCTGCAGCATCAGCTCTGCATGGGGGTAGCCCTGCGGTTTGTATGGTGTTACCACGCTCACACAGAGGGCTGGGTGCCTGGGTCGTCCGGCAATTGTGGCGGGCCGTACTGCTTCCCCCGCAGCCGGCGGCTCCTGCATCCGATGGGCTTGTGGGCTCTGGTGAGCACAGTATCAAGCGCTGGCAGGACTGTGGCTGACAGCTGGTTTTCAACTGTCGTTCACTCTCAAGTCCAACTACGATTTCACTGTCGTTCACTCTCCAGTCCAACTATGACAGAACTATGTCCATGCCAGCGGGAGATTACTGCTAAGAGTAAGGACCGTACGATTTGGCTTGTAAGGTCTGACCCGCATTTTCATGAACTTATACTACTCTGACTCCTTTTAAGAAGGACCTTAAAATGGGCATATACTGCTTTAATGCACAGGTAAGCTATACTGCCCTGCCGAAGTGGTACGAACTGCTCCAAACACAAATAAGAATCATGACCATAGCATGACGACGACTGAGTTGTTGGAGAAGATTTGACCATCAGTGTAACGGTGCTTAGTGCTTAGCATTAAGTATCCCTTAGTGCTTAGCATGTAGTATTCCTTTAAGTAAAAGAAAATTCACTCACCAAGTGATACAATTAAAAATTTCTAAGAAACTACTGGTTAAATATTACCTCATGATTATGTAAATCATGTTTATGTCCCTCATCTTTGCAGTTTGTCACTTGGTACATATTTAGATTCTTTATATTAAGTAACAGAGATGAAATACTTATTTCTATTTAAAAAGACGGTAGGAAAAAACAGGGATTGAAAGGATTCCTTTTTTGTACAAAAAATACATTTTTGTGACAATAGCCAGTACCTTCACAGTAGGTCCTTTGCTCCTCCTCTTACTACTAAGTTTCCGTCATCCACAATGCCATCCTAAAGTATGAGCACTGTTTCTCTTTCCACTTTCCAACACCAAAATTCAATGCACTACTGTGGAATGTTTCCAAAGTCTTATGCTATATCCTGATAAAATCAGGAATCTTTTTTTCGTTTTTCTTCTTTTTTTACTTTGAAAAGGAACTCAATTCATGCAAATAGATACATAATGTGCACCGAAATACTCAATTCTATGATACAGGTGACTTCCAAGAGAAGTCCCTTTATAATTACCTAAACTAGTTCTAATAAAAGAAGATAGTTTCAAAACAGAATTAAAACCATTTCATTTAACTACAGGCTGATGTTTGCTATGTGTTCAAGCAGATTGCATTTTCTACCTAGCTGTGTTAATCTGTGGGTTCAGTGTCGCTCTTTTGCAGCGTCGCAAATATTTGATTTTGAGGGGTGGCTTTCTTATGCAGATTTTGTAGTCCAGGGTATCAGTCTTCATTTGATTCTGCACACAGGATCTCAGGTTAAGCCCAGATCTGCAGAGAGAGAGTTGAACAATCGTTTATGACATTGACTGTTCTATCAGATGTTTAATTAAAATTTGGCTAGGCAGTCAGATTAGCGGCACACCGTATTGGTGGCAATGATATTATTTAACTCGTAAGTTCAAAATTCCCGTAACAGTTCGGCTAGCACTTTATGGGGACTTCTTTAATTTTCTGATCGTGTTTTACGCTGTGGTTTTATATCCCCATTAGTCCCTCTAGAGTAAATTTTCCTGTAATAACCCTTCCCTCTCGCTGCCTTTTTTTAAACAATCAAACGAAGAAAGAAGCACCAAGGCAGGTGGGTGCTGCTGGGAGCATCGCTTACTCGGAGAGTGTGGTCCCAGGAGCCCGAGCAGAATGCTGTCCCGTCGGGAGAGACCCGCAAGGTGCTGACACGATTTTCATGTCCGAACAGGATGGACACACGGGACCCTTTGAGCACATCCCAGACGTTTATGGTGTAATCATTGTAGCCTGCAAACAGCAGGCGACCTACAAAGAGAGTGAAATGTTACAAACCGAGGTCCTCAGCAGGTAACACATCTCGAGGGCAGCAAGGGCCTTCTGCGGGGCACCCACCACGCAGCGAGCCACAGCCCAGCCAACATTTAAAGCTGAGTAAAATCACATAGAGTCCATTCAGTCCTTAGAGACCAGGGATGACTCCCAGTCACGACAGACTGCAGAGCACTTCAACAGCTAATGCAGGGTGACAATATTTTGCTCAGACTTTACTCAAGAAGTTGAATACAAATGGCTGAATGATCAGCAGACAATTTGGTAAGTGATTCCCTGTCCCCAACGGGACAAGCTGTGGTGCTCGTGACCACGACAGAGACGTTTGCCGCTGTCACGGGTGGAGGGCAGCTCACCACCCACGCGTCCCCACGCGGGGCGACTGGAGGAGCTCTGTGTTTGTGCTGGGGCAGGAGAGGAGAGAGAACTTGAGCTCAGGTCTCCAGATCTGGTGTGAAATATTGAAATGTCTCTGTCTTCATGCTCCTCTAACATTACTTTTACAGTCCATTAATCATTTATTATCCTTTTATAAACTATTTATGTAAGTGCGCTTAATAGTCTAGTTACATTTCACGTTTCCTTTGAAATGCTTTTAATCATTATTGTGAAATTCTAGCCCAGCTGCAGTTAACGGCAACATGTTTCCTGCCTTCAGTAGGGCCAGGAAAATACTTTTCATTGCTACAACGAAGCAATAGCCTGTTAGGTTATTTAAAGAGTAATTCTTTTTACAGAGGCAAAAAAAGGCTTCCATGCATTAAATGTTTCTTTTGGTACTTACGAGTTATTTTTAATAACTTTTAATAACAAATGCTTTGTAAAATTAAACTGGCAAAACTTTACAGTTCCCTTCAAATCCCAACACTAAGATAACCGCCAAAGTTCAGGTCTCACCGCTGAGAGAGAAGTCCACGCTGGATGCTCCAAAAATGATGCTCTCTTTGGAATAAATTGCTACTTCTCTGTCTGCACGGAGGTCATATAAACGACACTGGGATTAAAACAAAACCAACACACGTGCCTCAGTGAAGGCTGGAGTCAACAGCTACTTCATTGCATTGAAAAAACAGGAGTGGGAAGGACTGCAGCCTTGCAGGCACCACGGGAAGTGGCTGCTTGGCCTCCTTCCCCCTGCTACTTCTGCCCACTGCGACTGGGACTCCTCTGGGGTGTCTAACATGGATCTAAGCAACGCCAGGCTGTTTTGGATCAATCCAGTGAAGAACTTGCTTTACCAAAGCCCTTCCCTAAGCCTGCTGCCTGTCCTGCTATAGAGAGATGGGTGGTGGGTTTCGGACCACAGCTACCCACTGCAAGCCCCCCCACCCTCTTGCTTCCCTGCTGTGGTTTCCTACATACCAGGGCACCCTGCTGCTGGAGAGGCGCGTGGGGACACAGCCGCTAAATACAATTTAGCCACAGCTGGGAGCTGGGAGACAGAGGAGTAAATCTCTAGTCATCGCTGAGAACACGGCCCGCGTGGCGCAGTGCTCCGACAGCCCCCCGGCACCGGGAAGCCCGGATGGCACTCCTTGCTCTGAGTGAGTCAGGACAGCAAACGGCCCCTGCCCTTCTGTGAGGCCTCTCTGCCTGAAAAACCCATGTGAAAATAATTCAAGTGAAATAACACAATTTTATACAGATCTTTGGTTTTCATTCCTCATGGAAAATCCCCCATCACCTCTACAACCTGCGCCTCCTGTTTTCCTCCTTTGCCAGCGTACTTAAGCTTGTTTAACATGCAAATAACGTATAGACAGGCCAGACTTCACTGCCATGCAGAAAGGCAGTCTGTCAGCCCTGAAATCAAAATGCACTTCTGAAACTATTTGAACTGAAAACCTTCCTCAGTAAGTTAAGTTTAAGCAAACACTGGCCAGATGGGATTGCTAATAGCAAGACTTTACTAATGAAAAAATGGCTGATATTCACGTGTGCCTATAAAGGAGAGGCTCTTCCATTCACAGGGTGGTGGGGAGCTGCCCGGAGGTCTCCCAGCGCTCCACGCTGATGAATAATTCCATCAGACTGTTCTGACAGGGAGTCGGGGTCACCGCAGGTGACAGCACTGCCATGTGAGCACGCTTTTATGGTTCCCTCCAGACAGCCAGGATTACCTGTTCCTCGAAATCCCTAAGTATATAAATCAGGTCAAGGATACCAGTCGGTGCATCAGTCCCTAACGCTGAAAACACCAACCTCTTCCTCTAAAGAATGAAGTAGATGGAAACTGCCCAAACCTCTGTCAAAAGTACAGAGATGGAATTTCCCATTCTCCCGCTCAAGCCGGGGGTGTCAGGAACACTTAAGAGCAAAAAACCCCGTCAAATAAATTAATAAGCAGAGGAGCCTAGAGCCTGTGGCACTAGGCACAAAAAGAGTGCTCTCATTGGAATTTAATGACAGACAACTTCTCCATACCACTCCCTCAGCATCTCAAGTGCTCACAGTACCAAATCCAAATGTGCAGAGAGGCACTGGGCTCACCACAGAGCTAGAGGTATTAATTTATAATCGCAGATTTTAAGACCTACAAGCAGCATACTCTCTCTCCAGCAGAGCCTTGGAAGGTCTCCACATCCAGTGAAGACAAAGGGAATGTTTCTGTTGAGTTTGGCTAGTACTGGAGCAGACTCAAAAGATGCTCTGGGGGCAGAGTACTTTAGCAAGAGTCTTCACCCTCATGCGACTTGGTGTGATGTTCGAATAATCAGGAGAAACAAGGTGCCAGGTGCCTCCCAAATGTCTGCTTACCCACCAGCTCTATCCCTGCGGGGCTGTGGTACCGGCAAAGCCTGGTCCCCCACGGGGACCCAGCAGCTGCAGCCAGAGCCACCAGCCCTGCGCATCGCTCAGGGGCCCAAAGGCACCAGCAGGTACGTGGCATTTTGCATACCATGTGCTGACCAAAATTACCTGTCAATACATACTGTGCCAGCTTGCTCACAGACAAGTGAGATCCAGTAAGAGCTACTGTATCATCTAGGATGACCCGGACGCAGTGACTCATCGCTCTGAGGCGCTGGCAGTGAGTCAGGCGGACAGGAGGAGATGTATGTGGCCAAGGGCACCCTGGGCTGTGCTCTCAGGGTGCACGGGGCCATGGAGCACAGCTGACTGGCTCTGCCCAGCGTCGCGCCAAGCCCATGGCCCCTCTGCTTGATGGGATGTGCGCACTCATGTGCAGGCTCCCTTCGTGCCCTGGCGCTGCGCTGCTTCTTCTGACACAGGCTGCAGCACTTCATCTGGTTCCAACAACTATATGAAGCCAAACCTCTTCTGGTAAGACAACTACTTTTGATCATGAAACTTCAAACCAGAGAAAACCTGAAATGACTATCTGGACAGTACCTCATGTAGAAAAGTTTGCAGAAGTGACCTACAAAGTGTTACTAGATTTTTCCCTATAGCATTACATATGGTATTTAGTATATATTATATTACAGCATTATTATTTCTGCAAGTTTGGTGTCACAGGCCTAGTTCAGTCACCTGAAGTCCTCTGTGGATGTGACCTAGTCTTTTAGGAAAATCTGATTTGGGAAGTAACAGAACTTCTCCAAATTAAGTTGCTGAATTAACATACCGTGGCATCGTCTGAACCAGAGGCAAAAGCATCTCCACTTGGGTAATATCTGTGCAAGAGTAAAAAAAGATCAGAACACATTACATGACTTGGATGAGGTCAGACTTCAGAAATAGAACCAGCACATTGCTCAACATCGCAAATGTGTCCTCTCCCAGAAACATACTGACCTGACACTGTTGATATCTGAATCGTGCGTTTCAAATGACTGGATGCACTGACCAGACCGCATATCCCAAACCATGGCTTTCTTGTCACATCCCTAATAAGACAAAAAAATTCACTACAGTTGTGCAAATGGTGACATTCACCCCTCACGTGCCTCACACACGTCATCCAGGCTCTGAATCTCCCAGCTCTGAGGTGATTCAACCAGCCCAGCAGCCCCAGAACTGGCTGTGCGGGTACCCCCAAGCCTGGTGCAGCTGCAGTTAGGAGCAGAGGACGCCACGAAGGCTGGACCCTCAGCGACGCCGCAGACCAGCCCAGGTGCAGGCTGGCCCAAGGGGTGTGCGCAGGCAGTCCCACGCTAACTGGCACTCGCAGCCCTGCTCTGCTTGTGCTGCTGCTGTTCTGTGTCTGCAGTCCCACCGTGCCACAGAGCGGCACGACTAACTCATTCCCTCACCACTTAACATGTTCAATACGAAAAATTAATAGCCAGCATTTAAAGTTTTATAACTAATTCTTTTCATACACCGAAACAGAAAATGAAATATGTGCATTTGGAGGGTCTCTTGCCCAGCCTCCAACTAGAGTTAACCCCTGCCGGGGCAGGAACCATCTCACACACGTGGGGCCACGCTCTCAGCTGCGATGTCTCGCTGCTGTCACAATCGCGGTGACAGGAAAAATAACACGGACTTTTCTTTTAAGAGTGACGGCAGATTTTAATAAATACAACCCTGCTGAGGGGCAGGCTGTCGGCAGGCTCAGCTCTGGGGGCTCAGCCTCCCTGGGGCTCAGTGGGAAGCACAGGGCAGGCCAGGCGGCTGCTGCTTCTGCCGAGCCAGCGCATCCTGCCCAGCAGACCGTGCCACACATGTTATTTATTTTTAAGCAAATATGATTGCTAATTAAATAGTCTCTTCACAATTCACATCTTTCTCTCTTGTTTTTGAATTCTGTAGTTAAAATGAGATCCCAGTATTTTTACTAATGATGTCATTATTTACAAGAGGTAATGTTCCTTTTTACCAACTTGTGGTTTCTGTGCAGAGGAAACCAAATAGGATAGAGAACATTTTGGACTCAGCATATTTCTCTCTCAAGCCTCACCACAGCCCAAGCCCAGCCCTTCGTGCTGCTTCCATGTGCGCTGTTCTTACTGACCTCTCTGGGAGTTTGAGGGCAAGACCGATCTGACAAGCTGGTGCTCTGACTCCAAAGGTTTTGAAGGAGAAACCAGCAACCACCTGTGGAGAGACGGGGCCCCAAGTGCTGTCCGACTCGCCCCGAGGAGCAGCGCTCAGAGGGCACTGAGCACGACAGCCGGGACACAGCCCCGAGCTCACCCAGGAGGGCTGGGATTTCCAGTTGTAACAGCACCCAGTCTATACGCCAGCGTATTGGCATTGCTTATTCCAGCTCAGGGTTGCTGTACTACATAGGCACAATACACAGGGAGTCTCGCTATGCCATCACACCTTCAGGTTGCACTGTTTTGCCTATACCTGCATTGACACCATGTAAGACAGATCTCCAATGCAGTGGTATTTTGCATGTGATGAATTAAGCGAGTCCCTGTAAGCATGGACATGCCCAAGCTGCTACATTGACACAAGTATGACACATTCTCTCAGCAGTACCAAAGCTGCTTGCAATTCTTTGCCCTATAATAAGCTGAGCTGTTCCCCGGGAGAATGAATCTATCCTTTCTGGGAAGCAAGCTCAGTGACAGGAAAGCCCAGGAGGAGTAATGCACTTGGATGGAATTAACTTTCAGTCACGCTTCAGAGCAGCTGTGCTAGCAGCAGGCAAACTGGGCCAGTGTGCTGGGCTCTGCTCCTGATGGGCCAGCCAAATTTGATAAAAGAGCCATAACAGAAGAGGTCCAGGTTTACTGATCAGGGATGGGACCATGGCTCTGAGCACAAGTGCATTCCCCTAATCCATGGTCAGCACCCTCTGGCACTAGGGCCATCTCCATCAGCAAGCACAGGACCAGCCCTGGACGAGTGCTGGTGGGCTCAGAAACCAGGTACCTTTAGCAAAGTTACTGGTAGCAACCTGCCTCCAGTAAGTCATCTGTCAGCTCCTGCCAGCTCTCACTTGCACACTCCATTTCTGATGTGAGAAAGACCAGAACTACCTCAAGAAGGAGCTGAGCCCCATCCCGCTCACCTTCGTGCCTTGTCTGCCTCACTGCCAGGCTGCAGGCCAATGGCTTGGCTGCTTGGGAAGAGCGATCCTTCAGCAGAAGGACAAGATTTGGAAGATGACCTGGGTACTTTCCCAGACCAGTCCTGCAGCCCCAACAAGGCTTGTGTGTTCCTCTGGGCCAGGACAGGGAGTGGGCAGTGTTTGACTGATGCAGGGGCTTTAAATGCCTCTGGTACCGCTGGAAGGCACAAGGGGTCCGGCAGCAGCTGAAGATGTGGCCACACCTCACCTCCTTGCTCCAACTTGTATGAGGGTTTAGCCAGCGTCCAAGCTACCCCTTGGCTTCTGGGGAGCGGCTGAGGGACATGGTGGCACGCACGTTATTTGCAGCCACACTTCGGTGCCCTGAGCAGCCACCCAGCACACCCCATCTGGCTCCAGAGAGCTGGGCACGAGGCAGGAGCTAAATGCGGGAGCTCATCCGCTGTGCCAGGCTGCTATCCAAGGGGCTCACACCTCCGCTGTGGTACGAGCCCGCTGCTCTGACTCTGAGCCTTTCCCTTCCCGGGAGAGGCGTTGTTTTCATCTCAGGCTGGATGGCTTTGGTGTGGGGTGGAATTTGCTAAGTAAGCAGAACTGCAGTCAGACTGGCTGGGTGGGTTTGACCCCACCGTCAGGGGTTTAATTTGCTCCAGCTTGGAAAATGTGCTTGCAATGAGTAGATTGCACTGAGGCTTCCAACACATACTCCAGCACTCTCTCAGTAAGATCGCGAGCCTCCTGCTTTTCTGCCTTTTCCTTTCCACATTCCTTAATTTTATATTATGATAGGAAGCTCCTGCTTACCCCAGAGACAAATGTATTTCCCGTTTCAGAAGGGGCCAGGTCCAGGCACAGGACATCAGCTCCATGACCATGGAAACTCTGTAGAAGCTGCCCGCTCTCCACATCCCACAGAGCACAAGTTCCATCTCCGCTTGCTGTCAGGATCTATAGGACGTGGCAAGAAGAGTCACAACACAAAAATCAGCAGATGACCTTCAAGGTCACAAAGAAACAACTGACATCCTGTACGTACACCAAGGACAGCTTTAATTTAATGAAACATTAATCAAAGCCATTAAACCAATGTGAATCTAATTTTTAAGGTAAGAAAAGTGGAAAGGAGAGCTGTACTGACACAGCTATACCTACACAGCGTTTCAATAATGGTCAGTTCTGTGCAGCGGGGCTTGGAGAACTGATGGCAGTAAGGGTCTGCTGGCATTTCCATATCCTCCAAACAGGAGGTAGAACCAGACTGGTATTCCTGTCTACCCCTGTATTTAACTCTATCCACGGGTAAAAAGAAGAACTGTTGGAGTTAAGTATACCTATTTAACTCTATTTTTTTTTCCTGCTTGAAATAGCCAGGTTAAACCCAATTAACTGGGCTTAAGACATGAATTTTCTGAAAGAGAAGTAAGCCTGTCTAGACAGTTGTTTGATAAGTCCATCACCTCTCACTTGTCCAAAACCATTTGTGTGTGAAAGGGCTTGAACATACACTGACCGAACATAGCTCACAGCTTCCCTCATCTGCTACAGTGCTTGCAGACAGCACGTGATCAGCACTTGTTATTGTGGCTAAATCCTGATGATGCTCAATTGTTCAAAATTTCCCCTTGGCACCCGAAGCTGTTACGCAATCACAGATTCTGTAGGTTGAAAGGCCCTGTGCACCGGCGTGGAAGGAGGCAAGGGTGAGCTTAGGAGGGCTCTCAGTCTTGTACACAGGTTTTTCTCATGGTCAGTGAGGAACCTCAAGGGATCCCAGTGGGTACTTAGAAGTTAAAAAGAAAATACTGTTCAAGAAGAAAACGATCACACAATCGGGAAACCATTCACAGAGCTGCATAAAGGTTAAACCCTGAACATGTTTGACAGATGCTCCAAAAACTCCTCCCATAAACAGAGGTCTGCAGAGCTGCAGAACAGACTGTTCCGAATCCTGCAGTAGAGAGACACTAATACTCTGAGATGACGATAGCAGAAGTCCTGACTTGTCTTTCTGGCCAACTTTTGAGCCTAGATCAATGAAATTCTCTGTTCTATGCAATGTACTTGGATGAGGAATGAAGACTTTCAGCTCTGAGGATTTGCTTTTGTAATAGTGTGTCAGAATGATACGAGGTGAATAGGAATAGCTAAAGGTGTAAGAGAAAGGTCTGCTGGCAGCCCAGAGCTCCAGCTAATGCTTAAACAGAAATGTTATGGACTCAGCTTCAGGCTGTTGCTATTAAAAACAAACCAAACCAAGCCAAAAATCCCCCAAAATCCCAAACCAGAAAGGAATTAACAACCTTTGCTATTAGGGTCTGGCTTGCTGCACGAGGGGCACGGGATGGGGATCGGCGCCTGGCGGCAGTGCTTGCCCAGGGCAGGGGACAGCAGGGACACAGCCCCCGCTCGCCAGGAGCACCCACACTGGGGCTGGGAGCCACAGCAAGGGCTGAGGGGCCACCCTCACCTCTGCCTCCCCTGCCATCGCCGCCGGCCTCATCTCACTTCTCAGCCCTGCCACACTGGGAGTGTGGCTGCCTGCCCTATGCAAAACACTTGAGATCCTAATTAGCTGTTGCTATTAATACACATGGAGCATTGTCACGTGGGGAGCATTATCACACCGCAGAGCTGCAGAGAGCTAATCTGGGAAGCAACACTCCCTGGCTCTCTGCACGCTGAAGCGGGGGAGGCTCGCTCTGGCAAGGCTGATTTGGGGCACGGAGAACGGGGTGCGCAGGTCCCCCAGCCCTGCATCCCGGCGCTTGCCTTGGTCCAGGGTCGGAACACGATGAGGAGCAAGGATGGGACCCCCTCTTTCAGCACCCACACAGCCCAAGATTGGCTTTAATGAATCAGCACGAGATCTCCTCTCTTTCTGTTGCACTGCCAGACGCCCATGGGCACACCAACTTCTGAGCTCCTACCCTGCCTTCCATTCCTCGGGGGGAATGAAAGCTGAGCTGCAGTCTGAGCAGGCAGCCGAGGCAGAGCAGTGGCATTCACAGCACCTAGCACCTGGCACGGGGCTGGGGGGTACCTCCACCACGTGCTAGGGCTGCTCCAGGCCAGGTACCACATCCCTTGGTGAAGCGAGCCGGGAGAGCAGAGCTGCTCCACGCACAGCTGGGAAAGCTCCTGCACAGTGTGCCTGTTGCACTAAGCACCCTTAGAGTTACGGAATAATTTTAATTCTGAGGCTGTCAAAGGAAAAAGATCAGAAATCTGGAGTTCTCTAGGATCCCCCACATAAAAGTGTTCTACCAGAAGCCTGGCCAACCCACTTGCTTGTATTTGCTTCATAACAATGCGCAGTGCTATCAATGATCACTTGTAAGGATATTGATCACAAGAATATTTCTTTTTGAAGTCTTCAGAAAGATCTCTGCATCACTGAATATAAAGCACCTAAATCCACTGTGGTATTGTTTAAAAATAGTAACACATTACCTTCAATATCAATGCAGTTTGCTGTATTTAATACGGAAAAAAAGACACAAGTTTTCTTGTTTTTTTATTATGAAAAATAAATAACTATTGTTCCTTTCATAGGATTTAATTACGATGCCTATAGGTATGGACAAGAAAAGAGAATACTGGTTTTCTATCTCATCAGAAACACTCCACTTAATTTAGACTGCTCTAATTACGCAGGGCTCCTGCACAGTAAGGTCAGGTCTAAGCAAGCCTAAGCACTGGGTACCTCCACCGCTTGTTTCCATGGCAATGGACTTAAATTAGCACCTCAGAGTCATTACAGAAACCATAGAAGATAGACAAACAACAACATACTCTTGGGCATCTTATGTCCTGAAATAGAAGCAAGGAGAGCTGATCTTTCCTTCAGAACAGCTCCAAATATCTGGAAGGAGGGGACAAGTTATTCCCTTTCCAGCAGCTCTGCTGACGCAGAGAGCAATGAAAATTCTCCCTTCTGCCACTTCTGTTGCTGCAGAGCTGCGCTGAGGAGAACTTCAATTAAATTCAAAAACCAGAGAGGACAAGGGGATTATCCTGGCTCCTTTCATCATCTTTCGCATTCCTGGAGAAAGAGATCTTTGAGATATTCACTACAGAGGAAGGCTGGCCTGGTCTCAGAAGATCTGCGTTTAGTCCTGGCTTTGCCATCACCTCCCACTGCGGCCCTCTGTGCTCCGACCCCCCAGCTGCGAGCTGGGGACAGCATCACTCCTTGCCCTCGAGGGAACACACCACTGCCTGTGCTGCGATGACTCTGTGGGGCCATCCTCGAGCTCAAATATCTCACTTGGTACAAACAAAAAATACTCACAATGAAAGCAAAAGCAGAGTCGCTGGATGTCAAGGACAAAGCAAATAAACAACACAGTCTCCACCGGATGGTACAGCACGTACCCAGCCTAGTCCTATCTCAGCTGGGGTTCTAACCATTCATATTAGTTTGAGCTGCTAAACGCACAAGCCAGCACAGACCCAGTGAGCAGAGAACACGCAGGTACCAGCGAGCTCCCTCCGCAAAAGCGACAGGTCTTTGCAGGGCGCAGGCACGACAGCCTGGCCATCGGCAGTGACAAGCATCTCCTTCCAGCAGCTTCTGCAGCACCGTCCTTGCACCCAGCGAGGGTTTTCCAGCAGCCCCGCGTGGGGCAGGACACGGCCCAGGTGCAAGGAAGGTGACCTGCACCGCACATGAGTGCAGCTCCCGTTAGGTGTTGCTGGACGGTGAGCAGCGGGTAGGGAATGCATTTACCTGCATGTCTGAGTTAGTGAAGCTGCAGGCAGACAAGTAGTTTGTGTGCATTGCAACCGATTTCTTCTTTGCAGCCATATTTTCGTTTTTGTCAAATGTCAGAGGGTACACAGAACACTTGTTGTCCAGGCCACTAAAGAGAGTAATAATAGCAATAACAGAGAGAGGAGAACTGGTTAAAACTGCAACGACAAAAGGCAAGTGGTGATAAGAAGGAAACCACCTGTCAGTGCTGTGCTGCCAAACCCTCACAAGCGCCGACTTCCCGGTACTGTGCTGCCCGGGATCTCCCTGCGCAGGGAAGCCCCAGCTGCCTCACCAGCCTGGCTGCTGTACAGAACTTCAACAGCTGCGCCTCAGTATTTTTTACCCTCACCAAGTTTATAAATGGCACTGAATGAAACCTCACCAAAGTATAAACTGGCAGGTGACATAGCAGTCACCTCAGGATTAATGTTTCACATACAGCCAAACTGCCGTGCTTCTGTTGACAGCCGTCATTGCGAGGATCAGTGTTTAAGCATCATTATTTATCCACCTTAATAAATTTGACCTAACTCTTATGGAAGAGACAGTACAGCAAGTAGTGGCTGTGAAGACAGGGCTTTTTGGAGAGTCTGGAAAAAAAGGCAACAGAAGCACCGGCCTCTGTAGCTGGTGTGTCCCTCCTGGACAGCTGCACCAGCTGAGCTGTGTCTTCCAGGCCAGATGTGGGACTCTTTTCTAAAGGGTCTGACTTGTGTCTGCCCCTCCTCTAGAGCTGTGGTAGATCAGCCGTGCCCTGGTCCCTGGGGTCCCGGCACACCACCGGGCGCTGGTTCTGTGCCTTGTATTACGTGCACGGCACTTCACTGACAGCACAGCAGAAATACGGAATTGGGTAGCGCAATGCATATATGCCCTTCCTGTCACTCACAAGCAAGAAGACAGAGCTTTCTTGACGGTTCTTTGTGTTTTAGTCAAAACCATACAGTTTCCAGACTCTCTCCCCACACACATTTATGGAGTCTGCCTGCCTGTCTCAGTCTGCTGCTTTCTAGATTTGCAAGCTGCACGGTAAAGTCTCCTTTTGTTCCTTTCTCTCGCCCCAAGCTTGCTTTGTCTGTCTGACTCACCCAGTTCCTTTTCAAAAGATATTCTGCCATCTCATCTCTTTGTTTTCTCCCACGCATAAACTCAATTTTTTCAAACCTGAGCCCTCAGAAAACTTGGAGCAGATTATCAAGGATGGGGTTACTTCTCCCCACCCCATCTTGGCAAGATCTATTCATGTGCTGGTAATCATTAATGACTAACCCTCTCTATGTCATAGAAGAAAGACTGCAAAGTAAGAACGGGGCTAAAACCACTCTCCCTTAGAAGATATATCCAACACACATAACCAAACTGGGACAGAGAAGTTGCATGCATGTAGAATTCCTAACCCATGATATAAATGCTGAAAGAGGATTATTTTCCATGCTTACACAACAAATGTTATTGCACTGAAGTCAGTGGAGATAATGTGTACAAGCCATTATGGGAACAGAATCGGAGGCCCTGAATGTAGTCCTTCTACCCACAATCGAGGCATGCAAACTTCTAGCTGTCAGCATCTGCAGGCACTGGGCACCACTACAAATCAAGTTTCTCTGTCTAAGCAGCTCTGGGCACTGGGAACTTACCCACAAGCAATGGCACATCCGGATGGGGCGTATGCACAGGCCATCACCCAGGTACACGGCATCGTCACTGCATGTTCCTGAAACACAGCACCTCTTTACACTGGGATGTCACTGCTTCTCTAATCGGCGCAAGGAAAACAGTGTGGAGCAGTAAGTTCAGTATTTCTGCGGGACATCCTTAGGGTCAGTGAAAGGTACAGGTGGTTTCTCCAGCCATAACTCACATGTAAGGCTGGGACAACCCTTACTGCAGAACCCAGCAGAGCAGCAGGAGGATGGCTAGTCCTTCCCTGACACCTTCCACCTCATTCATGAGCGCCAAACTGATCACAGAGCATGTTTTACTTGGGTTGCTCACTGCTGTAAAAGGTCCCCACTGCTGCACGTGTAAAAGTGAGCTACACACGAGCTGGTTTTTTGTAGCCGCATGGAGCAGGGTGCGAGAGGGCAGCCGTGGCAGGGCTTGGAGAAGCAGTGGCACCACTTCACAGTGAACGCCACGGCTGGAGGATTCCAGGTGATGACACATGGCACCTTGTACAGGGGCTACTCAGGGGGGCCTCTGTTCTGCTGGCTGGGCTTTGCCCCCAGCCGGGAGCCCTCCCTGTGAGCGAAGAGGCTGCACCAGAGCCTCCCATTGGAGACTATGACAAACCCCAGTGCCCTGACAGGGACTTTGCTCAGAGACAGGTCAAGGGAGGTGGTTTGCCTGGGGCCCCTCGGTCTGAGGTGCTGGTGGAGGTCTGCATGTTATCCCATCAACCCGCTGCTCCCTCTGACACCTACGAGGCCTTCAGCCCTCCATCTTATCCCACTGTCATTTGCCCCATGGACAGAAATCTGACTTTTGCTGAAGTTTCACTTACCTTGTTGGTAGTAAAGGAATCCCACACTATCACCTTCCCATCCTAAATGAAAGAACACAGAGAGAGAAACTGAGGCCTTCCAGAGACATGGCTGTCAGCCTACTTCCCAGATTTGGGGAAAACTCCATCCCTCAGTCTGTCACGTCATGAAATTTTTGTCTCCATTTTAACAACAGCACAATGGTCACAGGAAAGCACGAGGAGACACTCCTCAGTAGTGTGAGTTACGTCTTTAACCAGAAGAAAAGCACAGCTCCTCCTCACTGAGACAACTGACATTGGCTTAAAAGACTGATCTGTTTTTTCATTTTTTCCCTTCCCTTTTAGCAGGTTTAGGAGAACTCCTCTCAGTTGCAGCACACGTTGTGGACAGGACCATCTCCTCAGGAAACTGCCACTAGTGAGCCCTCCCGTGCCTCCTTTCAGTCACCTGCAAAGCCGGCCACCTCTGCCCAGTGACATATGTCAGTGGCTCAGTACGGGGCCGTACAAATAGAAGAGGTGACCTGTATTACAAATCACTCGCTGAGTTGGCAGCACTCAGGAAGACTATTTATGGACATTGCACTGTTTATTCATGTTCCCTTTCCTGCCTTTTCCTGGTTTTCCCTTTACATCTCACCACACGTACTTAACCTTCAATTATCCATTGATACAATCTGCTAAATAGCAATCGTAAGAACACTCCACAGAGAGCACTGATATCATTTTGTGTATGCCAGCTACACTCATGCCAGCTACTTTGCCTTATGCACGCAATATTGTTTTCCTCCCTGTATCATGAAAGCAAAATGCTTATTACTGAGCAACAATAGTTGCTGTAGCTGGACTCACTATAGTTCTTAAAATAGACTAAAAAATGCAAAAATGCATTTCAACTTGCTTGTTCAGCTTTCTGATCTACAAGCTGGCATTTTAACCACTTTAAAAAATGTGATATTAATTATTTAGAATTATTCCATTTTCTGACATCACCATGAATGGTAAAAACTCACAGTAGCTGAAGGTGGCTTGCAATGCAGATTGCCTATTTTTATCCCTCGAGTGAGACCCCTGACAGATTTCATATAGGTCAATGAACAGCTGTGAGATGAAACAAGCTCACTCGCTGCCATACTGGGCTCAGGACAAACCGGGGGATCTAGAGAGTAATTATCTTATTACCTCCTCCAGATCATAAGAAAGGTCTTGAGCAGGTGTTACAACTGTTTCTCAAAATGCCCAAGTAAAGGCAGTAATTTTGGCAGGATGTTTGAGGCTTTTAAGGCCACACCAATTATACAGACTGCAGAAGAAATTTCTGTGTGCAGAAATCTCTAGAAGAATCAACATTTCTTCCCTTCCCTCTTCCTGATTATTTTCTCCAAGCACATAAACTGAAATCGTTACTAAATATTTTATCTGTATAGAACAAGGAAATAAAAGTGGCGCCAGATGAGTTATCTCTATTTTCTATTGCAATAGGGAAAATGGTGAAAATCTGTATATGACTGGAGAAGAAATATTTAGGCTATTAGCTACAACAAGTGCAGCGATGATCAGAAGCTTGGATTTGTGCTCTCTGAACAATACATTGCCAATGAACTGCTTTAAGGGCATCTTGAAAACACACTATACACAGGTATCACCTGCAAAGAGTGGCACATAGCCCAGCCAAAAGATTTGTATCGTGCCCAACAGTAGCTTTGAAAAACATCTGCCCAAGAGCGTACCTGGGAAGAGCTCACAATTCTTCTCTTGTCTTTGCACCAGTCCATACAGAGAACTTTATTTCCATGGCCCTTCAGCGTCCTCCTGGTTTTCATCACAAACTGGCCCAGCGCCTCCACACGTTCTGCCACCTGATGAACTGCAAACATCTGATGGTTAGAGAGCCCTGCATCAAAGCTCTGCCCTGGCAAATCTCTACGTTCATGAGTAACATCACTTGGAGGACTTAATCCATGAAGTGGCCTCAAGTTGCATCAGGGGAGGTTTAGACTTTCTTTACTAAAAGAGTTGTAAAGCATTGGAACAGGCTGCCCAGGGAAGTGGTGGAGTCACCATTACTGGAGGTGTTCAAAAAACGTACAGATATGGCTCTTCAGGACATGGTTTAGCAGGCACCGTGGTGATGGGTTGATGGTTGGACTTCATGATCTTAGAGGTGTTTTCCAACCTTAATAATTCTGTAAGTCTGAGTCTACGGTGCAAGCCAACGAACTCTGCTTCAGAGCTAGCATGTGGTAAAACCAAGGTGGGGCAGTGTACGAACATATTCACCAGGTAAGGATAAGGACGAATTCACTCAGGGCTTGAATTCCAGGGCTGCAGCAGCTGAAGCTCTCGCAGACCATCGCACGCAAGCATCACTGGAAAATAGTTTACCCACTTGCCTCCTCCTAATGGGAAAGCCTGAGACTTGGAAGCACACAGCCAGCCTCCAGCCTAACACATGCTTCAAGGTACTCAGCAGAAGTGAAGACACTACTGGGTCTTGGAAGAAAAATCATACAAACGAGGGGCATCAAATCTCCAAAGTTTCAACAGTAAAACACTTGTTGTGGATGCGAGACTCCCAGCCGCAGCCAGCTCTTGGCACCGCAGCGGTGGTGCAGTGTGATACAGGTACCAGCCGCTGGAGCCGGGAACCTCTCCTCTGCTGTGCCATCCCTTCTGCTGGCCAGGGGAGCACTGAGGGCCAGGACACAGCTCTGAGTGAGCAGAGCAGCTTGGCTAAGAGTGTGCTGCCCAACTTTGCAACAGTGTCTATGGACATTGAAGACTTCATGGGTGGGTCACCTCTTTCTTTGATGGGAAAGAGAAATACAGAGGGCAGGCAAGCACCTTTCCTGAGTAGCATCCTCTGGTGGAGACGTCAGTTCTTTCGTGCCTCATTTAATAGCAGTACTTTCAGGTGATGTTCTTAAAAACCCAACAAATGGACATTTCCAATCACACAAACTCACTCTGACATAAAATTTGTCCCACTGCAACTAAAAGGTGTCTCGTGTGACCCTGATGCCTCATGTTGGGGTCATCTGCATGTGTCTGGGAGAAAGCACCACCTGAGGAAACCATTTTGCTCTGTTCCCGCATTGTTCGTCCAGCGAGGAGCTGAGCAGGGCCATGATGTATCTTGGCACCCTGTGGCAGCTCTGACACACTTCACATGGAGCATCAGGGAGGGTGGGAGCTGCTTCAAGTCTCACAGCAAAGTAGGGGCCCTGGGGCAGGAGATCCTGGCACCAGAATTAAAAATGCCCCTGTCTAGCGAAGAGCTAATGGGATCCAGCACTTCCCTGTGCTGTGTGTTTGTCCACGCTGAAACCTAAGATGATCCAGCTGCTGTTAGCTAAGGGGGCAATGCCTGACTCAAACCTGACATAAATGAAGAAGCTCACATGCTTTAATGAACTGGTGGAGGAAATCTCAAGCTTTTCAATGCCATGCTGGAGACCGAGCTCCACATGCACACGGCGGGTGATTGCCCTGGAGCGGCATTGCTGCTTCACTCTTCATCACTTGTGTAGAGCTGCAAGAAAGCTCCTGGGATAGGGAAGGCTGTCACAGTTAGAGCAGGCATCCTTAACTTTGAGACCGTTCCCTGGCACAGGGTCAGGGGAGCAATTTCTGCCTAAGGCAGACACTGATTTCTAGCAGATTAGCTTTTGAAGAGCTATCTTTCAAAACCACCAGCCCTGCAAGCTGTGCCAGAACAACGTTCTCACCTGAAA